CTTCTTCTCCTAGATTTTCTCTATTTATTTAACGTTTTTCCTCCTGTTTCGCTGTTTCTTTTTAATTTTCTTTTGACCCCTTTCCTCCTGTCTCGACAGGCTATAAGAAGACACCGAACATGTGTAAATATTATTATGCCTTGAAAAAGACGGGGCTCAACTTGAAACATTAGCAGAATAAACAGTTGTTATGTGAAAGCGCATCTACTTTCATATTTATATCATTGCGGCAACCAAAGGTATTCTGTATATATATATATATATATATATATATATATATATATATATATATATATATATATATATATATATATATATATATATATATATGCGCACACAAAGGTTAGCATATGCATGTTCGGGCATGCAAGTATGTGCATTCGTGGCGTGGGAAGTGTGTAGGCATATATCCGCTCTGAATAACCGCTACTGCCATCACGAACAAGCGAGTGTTCGGAAGCATGCAATCTTATTCAGTAGAAATATAATAACATGAATCGGCGAACGAAAAGAGAGAAAAACTCTCATTAAAATCGGCCGTTCAATTTTCTTTATCTCAAGAGACACTTGCCCAAATAATCCTTGAATGTTTTTCATCAAGTGAACAGCATGCTCATTTAGCTTTTATTTACTACTTTTATTTTCTACTATGTGCTGCGCGCACACGCGTTCCCCTGTGGTAACCTCAATTTCCCAGGAGTAGGGATCTACACAACCAAAGGTTGCGGCGTTATCCTCAACTGATTCCCGAATGTGGTGTTTCAGTTCTTCCAGATTATTGTTGCGGCTGTCCACAATGAAACAGAACATTCCTAGGCTTACAGCAGCCGATCGCAATGTGGCCTGGCTCTTTGCAACGATGACATACGACCGGCTTTCCAGCCTTAACGATTTTTGCTTCACTTTAACTTTCGAGCAGCATGCTGCGTGTGTGTTTTCTGCCGGACAATAATTTTCTTATCGGAGGATGCTCTCCCGTTAATTGGGTTGCTTGCAGCCTGATAAATTCTTAACGCTAAACCCCTTTTCTCAAGTATTTTGTCTTTCTTCGCCAACCTTCGCTTTCTTTTCTCATCTTTTTTTCTGTTTTTCCACTTCTTCCCAACATTTCTCAAATTCTTCATCCTCCTCACCGCACTCTTGAATTGTCCCAATCAGCTGTGACTCTCTCTCATCTCTCCCCACCTTAATTCCGAGCTCTTCACACAGTAGTAAGAGATGTAGTCTTTCTAGCTTCTTTACCAACTCCATGGCCTTCACGAGTGAGGACTTTTTTACCGTGACGTTAGGTAGCAAACAGGCGTAGTCTACACGCACGGTAAAAACACTGCCAGTTTGGAACGTGAAAGCTAAAGTTTGATGAATAGCTGTGATGCATGGTAGCGGTACAACGAAGCCAAACACACAGAAAATTACACACACATTTAGAAATATTCAAAAGCTAAAACCTGGCAAAACTCAAAGAAAGTCAAGCACTCATTATATCGTTGAGGCCCGAGTCAAGCATGGGTCACCCTGTTGCGGCTAGCCAGTGGATGTGTTCCGGTTTTCAGCAGCCTCACACCGCTGCCATCCAGTTGAGGTCACCGAGGGGTCTGCCCAGAGGACTGAAGCCAGCCAAAGTCTCGGGGAGATGTCGAGAAGAGGAGCCCGGAGCTACTAACAGTAACGTTTAATTACATAATTTACAGATAGCGTGTTACATGATGGTGGTAGCATGATGGATGCTCTCGACAGAAACATGATGGGAGCTTCTGGGAGCTTGTGAGAGCCTGTCGAGAGCGCCTCGGCGCTCCCGTTTTATGTCCTGGCCTGGCCAGGATCCCCTGCAGAAAAAATAACGGATGCCAGGACAGTCCCATGGAAATTGCCATATTCACCTCCGCCCTCAAAAAAGGAAGGTGAAACGCTGCCTCCTTTCTGTCCAAGGAAAGAGAGAATAAGTACGCCGAGTTCAGTCGAAGGCGAAGGAGAAAACACTGCACACCGCGCACGACACAGCACAGCACGAAGACGTTGAGTCTTACGTGGAAATTATTTTTGTAGTCTGTTGCAGTGATGGGTATGTGGCGTCAGGCAGACCACAAATTGTGGAAACAGTAGCACCAAGGCACCACGGAGAACATGAGAAAGACATCTACAGCCGGTTCTGAGACACTGGGCCTTTTGCCCGGAGGACCTAGATGACAAAGCAAGCCGCCTCGACGGCCAACAACTCTTCCTAATCGGTCAGTCGGTCAGGCATGTCCAAATGGTTTACGAGGGGCGCCGATGACCAGGGATAACTAGAAGAATGATTTCTCTGTTGTCGCTGCTCTTGGTGCATCTCTGGGAGGGCTGACTCGGGAAGAAAGCCAGGGTAGGCCCAGCCGCAATGTCTCATGCGTCAAAGCAGCGTCAAGCCAGGCAGGCCGATCATAACACCCACGTACGCGGTGGCCATTGGCCTGCTACTTTGGGCCAAATTGGCTACATTTCAACCCTTTTGGCGACGAAAGTTTCTAGTTTGTGCCACGGCTATTTACTGGCTACGGGTTAAATATCTGGTTTTACTTATTCTAAACAGCTTTATTCATTTAACAATGGTAAAATACTGTTAATAATACCACTCCTGTTTTGCTTGGCTATAAGTCTGGCAATAATAATAAATAACATGGCTGCATTCGGCTTGAGTGCTGGTGCCTTTTTCAATCCACTCGACGCCAGTCCACAACCTGGCCCAGTACTCCACCACTGAGCTACGCCAGTAGTTGAAACTCTGTTGCAAGCTAACACTATGTACACTCATGACGGATAAGGAATTGCGTTGGCATGTCTAATAAAACATTCTAGAACAGAAAAGTAATGACCAGGCGCCCATAATTTGAATTATATAATGACTGGGTCGTTGTATGTTCCAATTCCAGCACAAACATTTCAGGCATATTTCTTCATGATTGTCAGCGACAGCTTCAAGAAAATGCAGAAAATGCCTTGCAAGTGTATAGCGGGTACTACACTTTCTAAAGCTTGACGAATAATGGGATACGGACGTTTCCCCACTACCCAAAAGTTATGAATATGTAGATCGTAGTTGGTGCCATGCAAGTGTGCTAGTACTTGCCCCAAAATGTTTTCAAAAAACTCTAGAAAAGCAACTCTTCCAGCTTTCACTGTGAGTGTGCGGTTCGTTCTGAGCAGGCCTGCCAGCTTTTGCAGCTCAAAAGGGCTGTTTTTCACGAGTTAGTCGTCTGCCAGCATACCTGCAGGTGTCTGTAACCGACATCGCCCGAATTAAATTAGGAAAGAAAACAAGGAAATAACAAAAAATAAACAGAGACAGGGTTTGAACCTTGGTCCTCTACGTGGTAACCTAGGGTTCTAACTCATAGCCATGCTGTTTTTTATTTTTTATTGTATAATTACCTAAAGCATTCATTACAAAAAATAAATACCAAACAAAGGACACACAGGAACAAAAAAGAGAAGGTAAACAAGTCAGAATTTACAGGTTTTTTTCAAAATTCCTGCGTCTGTCTCTACTTTATAAAGCCGTTAGAGAACATCTTGTTGAAGTTTTTGAGGCTCCACGAATGATTACACAGATTGAGAAAAGTATTGTCTAACCAGACCTGCATTATCATCGGGATGGCACACTGTTATTCAAGTATACCATGTATTGTGCAGGCCCAGTAACAAGACCTGATAGAATGGTACACCTTTCTTGTTTTCGATTGGGAGAAATCTAGTGAAGAAGACATCAAGGAGCAAATCCTTTTTTAGGCTCAATTGAATACTGTCTGTTTCCCACCCCTTCAAAAATGCATTGCAGCATTCAATAAAATATCTTCAGTTGTATGCAACTTATTGCAAAGAAAACACTTTTCTTCCCATGGATCGAATAAGCAATTTTCCTACACATGCTGGTGCTCGAAACTCCCTCTCAAAAAGACCTTACACAGGCATTATATCAAAAAGGAACTGTGTATACCCACGTAATACAGCGTGCTAGAAGAGTAAAATAGCAACCGAGAGTCACAGAAACTGAATTTCGTAATCAGGCGCCACGCAATACGAAGTCCATAATGTGTGGGACGTTGCATGCATCCAACCCATTACAAAGGGTTCTGCCAAAATTGGCCATCGTTATCAACTACTGATTCAGCAAAGGGCATATAATGACTTGCGAATGCGTAGCGGGTACCTCGCTTTTGCGCATAATCGTAGATAATGGCAGTGTGCGTGCTTTTTAAATTGACAAAAATTACGATTTATGGCGTAGTGTGCACCTTGTAAGCGTACTTGTGTTAGTAGCCCCAAACGTATTTACAACTGTTCATAGAAATGCCACCCTTCCGACTTTGCTACGCAGTCCACGTTGGCTTGGTGTTTTAGGGCAGAAGCTCCTTAAGGCATAGGCCCTTTTGCTGTAGTTGTCTGTCGTAACCATCTCTAGTATGCGAATTCTTCATTAGAAAGCGCTCGCATCACTCGACAAATTTTGATATACAGAAAGACAGACAGGCGGACCCTCCACCGATCCAAAAGCTGTCATAACGAAGGGGGAAGAGAAGCCACATCTAGCTACCGCATAGTAATAAAAAATTAACATATATATATATATATATATATATATATATATATATATATATTATATATATATATATATATTTATATATATATAAGCTCGTGTGCGCCGATTTTAGTGCACGTTAATAACGAAACACCACTCTAAAGAACCCCACGTGGTCGAAATTTCCAGAGCCTTCCACACTACGGCGTCTCTCATATTCGTATGGTGGTTTCGGGACGTTAAGTCCCACATATATAACGGGGTTACACGGACGTATAACGCGGACAAGAGCTTGACCGCTTTCTTTTTTAACTAATCAGAGACGGTCGTCGAGCGCAGAGTCGGGAAAGTAAGATGTGGAATGCCTCATGCACCTGAATTTTTACTATGTTCACCACCACGTGGGTTTCACATTGCCAAACATTTACATTGCACTCAAGTGCATAACATGGGGGCCAAGGCAATGTAGTTGAATGAATTAAAAATTCTAGAAAATCACCTAAAGCTGGGGTGTGCAATTTCAAGGACACGGTGAATAGTTTACAAAGAACGCCACCTCATATTTAGCCGAATACATGAATGGATGTCATCCTTGCGTATTTGTGTATTTAATGCTGAACTTTTTTTGCAGGTGTCTATTTATAAAGTTTCAAGTTTTGTGCTTGCCTTCAAACATTGCCTGTCAAAACTTAGTGGCAAGCTATACCTCGCTGCAGTTGACGAAGCCATCAAGGTATGTGAAGATTTTGAAGATATAAGGTGTGCTTTTTTTCAGCAGCGAAAGTTAAGACGTCATCACGGCTCTAACTGCCTCATTCTAGAATGCTCCTGTAGTGAGCAGTCTTAGAAAATCTCTTGCCTTGGCGGTTAAACTTTTGTATTGTTTCTTCACTGAATCTAACTACTTTTGGTGATTATTAGGGCAGATGGACTGTCACCATGTACTTTGAACCAATGGGAGAACTTGTAGTTTGGTATAAAATACGAATTGTTATCGCAAGCGATGGAAGCACTCACGACAAGAACACTGAAGAAGCTTCACACATTTTGAGGATGTACGTACTGGTGTAGCATTTGCCATAATAATTAGTGTTTTTACTTGCAAACAAATAACAAAAAAGAAGTTTAACAATCGTGAATATTCGTCGTCATAACGCTGGTGTCGTAAGTAGCTAAGACAGAGATGGACAAATGTTTCCCGATACGTTTGCATAACCTTGTAGCAAGAATTTTTATAACACAATAATTATTAGTACGGCCTTTCTGCAAAGAAAAAAGAAACGCAAAAAAATGCTGCACGTGTGGGTTCGTCAGATTTTCAACCAGAAATATTAACGTTATAGCAGTGAAGAGCTCATTTCGCTGGAATGCTGGTGTCAGTGTCAGCGTCGTTATTTGTGAGCAAATGATCGTAATTTTTTTTTGTGACTGAAAGATTTAAATCCGCTGGTGAAACAACTACAAACATTGCTTCGAGTTTGAAACAATTCTAAGCCGTCCATGTCGCAAACAAGAGTTCTCCCACAGAGCTGCTCTATTCCTGAAAACTGCTTCAGAAAACAAGTCACAGTTTCGCCGCAAGGACGAAGCAATGAATGCGATAGAAACAACTCAGAATGTATCACCGAGAATGGCAAGCTGATTGAAACGTACAGTGCGCTGCTCACGCACAAATGACACACAAAAAACAGCACACATAAAACAAAAACGAACTGACAGCATTTACCGCTTGACACTTAACGCGCTGTCCAAGCAAAACGACGCACGAAGCGTAATCATGCAACCTGACACTTTCCTAGTCATACTTCGTTGTGTATGAAAAGTACACTCTTTTCACAAGCAGGGCCTGTGCAGGAAACGAAGTGACTTTTGTTGGCCCAGCAGCCAGCGCAATCGTTCCCGTGAAAGCGGAAGGCACACGATTTTTACCACTGAAGGAGAAGCAATCGTGCACAACCATCTAACCCCCCCCCCCCCCCAACCTGTGGAGCAAAGTTCACGTGGGAGATAAGTGTGTGTAGTGTTTTTACTTGCAAACAAATAACGAAAAAGAAGTTTAACAATCGTGAATATCCGTCGTCATAACGCTGGTGTCGTAAGTAGCTCAGACAGAGATGGACAAATGTTTCCCGATACGTTTGCGTATCCTTGTAGCAAAAGTTTTTATAACACAATAATTATTAGTATGGCCTTTCTGTAAAGAAAAAAGAAATGCAAAAAAATGCTGCACGTGTGGGCTCGTCAGATTTTCAACCGGAAATTTTGACATTGTAGCAGTGAAGAGCTCATTTCGCTGGAACGCTGGTGTCACTGTCAGCGTCGTTATTTGTGAGCAAACGATCGTAATTTTTTTTCGTGACTGAAAGATTTAAATCCGCTGGTGAAACAACTACAAACATTGCTTTGAGTTTGAAACAATTCTAGGCCATCCATGTCGCAAACAAGAGTTCTCCCACAGAGCTGCTCTATTCCTTAAAACTGCTTCAGAAAACAAGTCACAGTTTCGCCGCAAGGACGAAGCAATGAATGCGATAGAAACAACTCAGAATGTATCACCGAGAACGGCAAGCTGATCGAAACGTACAGTGCGCTGCTCACGCACAAATGACACACAAAAACAGCACACATAAAACAAAAACGAACTAACAGCATTTACCGCTTGACACTTAACGCACTGTTCAAGCAAAAATGACGCACGAAGCGTAATCATGCAACCTGACACTTTCTTAGTCATACTTCGTTGTGTATGAAAAGTACGCTCTTTTCACAAGCAGGGCCTGTGCAGGAAACGAAGTGACCTTTGTTGGCCCAGCAGCCAGCGCAATCGTTCCCGTGAAAGCGGAAGGCACATGATTCTTACCACTGAAGGAGAAGCAATCGTGCACAAGCCATCTAACCCCCCCCCCCCCCCCTAACCTGTGGAACAAAGTTCACGTGGGAGATAAGTGTGTGTTAGTGCATCGCGATGAGCTGGGCGCCGACCGTGGGTGTCTTTTTTCTTTCTTGAGTCACGCACACACACACATACACACACACACACACACACACATATATATATATATATATATTGTTATGAGACAATGTGCCACAAAAGCGGTTAGATAGGCGTGGAGAAAGACGACGTGATTTTGGTGTAAGGCACAGAATTTGTTCTCCATCTTAGCTTGCGCATTGGCGCTGTGTAAATATATTGCTACATGCATGAATATTGATATTCTAGGGGGTGACGCGCGTGTGTGCCTCACGCTCGATCGCTGGCGAACCGGTTACGCCATTACTGCTAGTTTTGAATATATCTAATCCCCAGCGTCGTCGTTACGGCATCTCTTCTTTTTCGTAACAAATTAGGTGGAGGTGGAAGGTTCCCCGTCTTCACTACGAAGTTTGGCAGTGGCCTCATCGTTCGGTCTCCGGCCATGGCTACCAATGACAACAGCCCGTCAGCGTCTCCATCTGTAGCTCCAGCCACTACTTACCTGACAATGCCCACCCCCCGTGATCCCGGTACAATCTCCGCACAACCTGGGCGTGACGTTGACTACGGGCTCTGTATGTACGAGCGTGTTAGCCAAACACACCGATGGGACCCTATCATGATGCTCATTAACGTAATATTTTACTTGGACGGCATCTCAAGGGTCTGGTTCGATGCCCATGAGACCGAGCTCACCAGCTGGAATACCTTCAAGGAGCGACTACACGATACTTTCGCGGACCCGTCCGATCGCCATAAGGAAGCGCGAAAAGAACTCGTCACTCGTGTGCAGTCTTCAACAGAGTCGTATGTCTCAGTACATAACAGGACGTGCTAGCGTTGTGCCGAAAAGTCGACGAGCAAATGACAGAGAGTGACAAGGTGGATCACAAGGGCATCGCGATACGACTGCCTTCAATTTGCTCATCTACACTAACTTCACGACCGTAAATATGACTATAAAGGAATGCCACTGCTTTCAAAATGGCCAAAAGCCGCTGTGTTCTGCCTCAATTTACGCTGCTACCAAACACGGCTCTGTTGCATCCACCTGCACCGATCTCGGTGCCAAACCACCTATGCAGGACAGCGTGACACGGGTAGTTCGAAGGGAGCTTGAGGCGTCAAGTCCGGCACCAATTCCTCCACATCCGCTCGACCATAGCGCCCCACAAATGCCTCCGGCGGTCTCCGTTATTTAAGCCGTCGTGAGGCACGGAATTGCAAAGCTCGGTTTTTCTGTTTCCTGCTTTGTCTCCCGACCCGTCTCCAGACCAATGACAACATATGCACTGCGCCACTTACATTTTATTCCGCGATCCCGCAATTCGGCGGAATGGAGAACTGCAGACGACAAGCCGATCTGCTTCTGCTGCCACCGAGTTGGCGATATCTCCCGCTACTGCCGCAGCACTTGGAAGCCCTTAAACTGGAGCCCATTTTCCTCTACTCGACCATACGAGGACTCTCGCCCGTATTCGCCCAGTCGTGTGTACCCTTCTTCCGACGTCCCTAACAGCCGCTCCACTGTTCGTGCACCGTCACCTCAACGCCGCCGTTCCCCATCGCCCCAACCGCGCCGCTATCCACAAAAAACTAGATCGTGCAGCTCCGGGAAGTAGTGCTGCATCACTTACGACTGATCCAAATCCTCCATTGAAGCTCCCCACTAACACGAACTTGATTAAGGTGTACAAGGACGGTATTTTTTGACGGCGTTAGTTGATACCGGAGCTCAAGTGTCCATAATGAGTGCTCGTCTGTGTCGCCTGCTCAAAAAAGTCCTCACGTCTGCAGCATCTAAAGCCCTCCGTGTCGCTGATGGTGGAACTGTGGCTATCACTGGAATGAGTACCGCTCGTGTTATCATTGCCGGCCGCCATGTCCCTGTTTTATTGATGGTGCTTGAAAATTGCCCGTACGAACTAATCTTCAGCATGGACTTTCTATCGATGCATTCTGCCCTGATGGATTGTGCCGCCTGTACTCGCTACCTAGAACATCCTCTTCTCTCAGATTCTCACCCTGAACTCCCGAACAGCCTGTACACCACTGACTTCTTCTGGATACCGCCTAGAGCTCTCACATTTGTCAAATTGGCAACACCCTCTCCCGTGCTCAACGATGATTTATCGTGACGCCGATTACGGATGTTCTCCTTGCGCGTGACATTACTGTCCCACACTCCGTCGTAAGCATGGCCTCTAACCGAACATATTTACCTGTTATCAGTTTCAGCTTCATAAAACAAGTGCTATCCCGAGGAATTTCGGTCGCCACGCTAAAGCCCATAATTGACGACCACATCACCTGTGTTACGACAGACGTATGTCCCGAGCACCCACATCACTCGCAGGATGCCACATGCCTCGATGCGACCTAATGCTCATTGATCGCCCCGGACCTCAAACCTGAGAAGTCAACCAGGCTATGCCGCCTTCTGGCTTCATAACACGACATATTAGACATCGACAGCCGTCCTCTCGGCCAGACTTCACTCGTCAAGCACCGCATTAACACAGGTGATTCTCATCCTATTCATCGGCGACCATTCCGGGTGTCTGCCACCGAGCGTACAGTAATTCAACAAGAAGTTACCAAGATGTTAGCCAAAGAAATTATTGAACCCTCTTCGAGCCCCTGGGCGTCCCCCGTTGTGCTCGTTGAAAAGAAAGATGGCACGCGGCGCTTCTGCATGGATTCCCGTCATCTGAATAGAATCACGAAAAATGAAGTTTACCCTTTACCCCGTATCAATG